AGAGGGGCATGGTGGGAGCTGTGACGTCACTGAGCAGAGAGGGGCGTGATGGGAAGAGACACAGGAGTTTGACAGGCAAGTGGGCCTTGAGAGCCGTGCTGGGAGTGTCAGCCTTGGACAGCCACGCTCTCTCGACCCTCTTCCTGAACACTCCCCAACCCCACGCTGCATGGGGAGGTGCTCAGCCCGACCCTCAAAGGTGGCATCTTCCCTGAGGAGCTGGAGCCAGGAATGGCTGTGGACCCCTCCTCTGGCTTCCTGTGGCCCTTAGAAAAGTGGTTACCTTACCGAAGGTCCCGAATCGTCTGCCCTTCTTGTACCTCCCACCCAGATCTGAATGACGGTTCAATTTTTAGACTCATTAGGAAGGCTGGAGCATAAGGGACTGACGGAGGTTAAGGGGGGCTGGAGGGATGGGGTTGGTTTGATGATGAGTCAGATGTTAAACTTGGTTGCCATCTTTCAGTCTGTGCATTTACAAATGTTTTAATTATACAAGGAATACAGGACTATATTCTCGCTATAGAGGTTCAAATGAAAATGAGTGTTTACTTAAAAAGAACTGTCATTCTCCCCATTCCTACGCCTCTACCCAGAGAGAGAGAGCTGTCGTTGGTTTGGACTGTATCCTTTTGTCCTATTTCTAGGTGTTTGGATGGGAGCATTGAATACATATTCATCTTGGCCTTTTTGTTTTTGTAACTTAACAGTGTGTCCTAGGGATCTTTCCATGTTGGCACATATGGACCTGCCTCATTGGTTCTCATTTACAATATTACTTGATGTTGATACACTGTAATATATTTACTCCCCGACTGATGGCCATTTAGGTGGTTTCCAGTTCTTCACTGTTCCAGATACTGCTGTGGTGACTACACACTTTGTGACTAGTCGTCAATATTTCATAGAAGTGGAATTGCCGGGTCAAAGGTTGCGTTCATTTGATCTTTCGATTATATCTTTGGTAGTACCAGTTTTCTATAGTAAACGCGTGTAACTTTTGTAACCATGCACAAAGAAATACGTAGTTAATTTTTGCTTCTTTTTAGGAAGAGGTTAGTGGAGTCTCTGACAAAAACCTCCTCTTCATCAAAATAGACTCGGCTTTATAAGGTGGTTGAATGTGGCTTGTGTGATTTTGTTGAGGAAATACCAGCTCTTGTGTCTCTTGGTGACATTACAGGTTTACCTGCAGAATACATTCCCACACGTGCACACAAGCCCACACGCATTTACCCACTCGCCCCTTCCTTTAACAATGAAAATGGCCACACACGGTAACCCAGGTTCCCACCATGGCTCTGGGCTTAAGCCAGCCTCTAACACCCTATTTTGTGATGAACCATCCCCGATCCTAGGCTCTGGGATTCAGCATTCAGACCACACCACCATCGTTTCAGCGTAACCACTGCCCTTGGACATGTCAGCTGCCTGTGAGCTTAACACCTAGTGGGGGCGCTGGAGTGGAAAAGAGGGAAACGGGAACTCGGAAAGGAGTCTGAAGTGGGTTGTCAAAGAAGAGCCGCCCTCCTCCGCGTCCCATATAAAAGCACCCTCGAGGGCCAGCCATAGTGTCTGGCCATGACCACAGACCGTGTCCATGGTGACCGTCCTGGGGGCCGACCCTTCTGTTCTGCCCAATGCTGTTCCTCTCTGCATAACTGCTGATCCATCCAGGGCACCAACCTGTTAGATACTATCAAAATGGCAGGCTGACGGCCTTTTCCCTCTTCTCTCTGCCTTTGCTCCCCCGTCCTGGGCACGGCCTGACTGCAGAACTTCCTGCGTTGCCAAAATAACAAGACCAACTACAATTTGGTATGTGAGACCCTGCAGTTTCTGGACTGCATTTGTGGAAGCACAACGGGAGGCCTTGGTCTGCTCGGACTCTACATCAATGAAAAGAACGTCGCCCTCATCAACCAGACCCTGGAAAGCCTGACCGAGTACTGTCAAGGGCCTTGCCATGAGAACCAGGTAATTCCATTTTTATTTTGGGATGGGGGTGGGGGAGGGGTGTCATTTTGGAAATGTTGTTCCCAGGGACTCGTTCAGAAGTCACTAGCACCTGCCTGTCTGCCTGGGTGGTCGGTGGAACTAGAGGCCATTTTTCTAACAGGAAGGAGTCGGGGCTTTTTATGCCTCAGAACTTAACTGGTCACAGGTGTTGGGTTGTCCCCACTTGGCTCGGCTTGAATGCCTGACTCGAACTTGACCAGGGATAGATACTAAAGTTGGAGTTAAATTAAGACCAGAAGACTGGGTTCTATCTTAAATGCGAGGAAAGACCCAAAAAGCTGCTACTTCACGCGAGGAAGTTTAAACCCAGCTCGGGAGAAACCTCACTGCATGTCAGACAGCTTCAAAGTCACGTGAGAAAATGTATGGTTCTGATTTTAATACCACAGACATTCAGGGGAGGCAAGGACCCCTTAGTTTTGACCTTGGCCACTCGGGAAGTGTGTTTTGAGAGTGGAACCCAATAGTTTCTTGTAGAGTCATTGTTTGACTCGGGGCGTCTTGCAGGTTTTATGAATTTTTGCATTAGTGCTCAGATGAGTATGGTTTTTAACTCAAATTATAGCTCTCTGCTGGCTGGAAGGGGTGGGCCAATGCCTAAATGGCCGGTTCTAAACCCAGTGGCCAGGGAAGGTAGGATGTGGTGGGTCACAGGAGGACAAGGCCAGGGACCCACCCAGAGGAGCAGAATGGCTTACAAGAGGGACAACTCACTGTATGTTAAAAACCTGGTCTTAGTTGACTGGGAATATGAGGCTAGCATTTGGTTAAGTCTCCCAGTTCCCTGATGAGACAGAGGGTGTAGTCCAATTTAATGAATAGGAACCAAAAAATTACAATAGGCTTGTGGGAAAAGGCTTTATCTGACATCTAAGTGTATTTCCTTATAACCTCAAGTTTACTTTTCTGCCAAGCCAGAGGTCTGTTAAAAGGAACATTGGACCGACAGGCTGCTGCAAATGGGGACCTTACCTGGGGGGAGATGATTAATTTTTATATGTGTGAATTGAGCAGGAAACTTGCTTTCCAAGCGTAAGCCTTAAGTAAAAGTACACAGTACGAAAACTGAATGATGTAGAGAGAATGGAACACACCGTGAAAGGGGAAAACTGGGCCCAGAACCCAGAATCAGTCACACACCATATTTTCCCTTAAGAACAAAAGCCGGCTGCCCAGCCCCGTTTGGATTACACACGACCAATTTATCAGTTCCAGTGCATGGGGACTTTCCTACTGTTTACTGTTAATTCTGAAACTAGAGATTTTCATCTGTCTTGTATTTTTACCACTTTCTCACGGAAAATTTGCAGCTCTCCCCTAGAGACATCACTGGGAGTGGCGAGCATTGTGTTGAAATAGCAGTTCAGCCTGTTGGCGTTGACGTCTGATTTATGACCTGCGTTTGTGTAACTGTGTGTGCGTTTGTGTGTGTGTCCTCAGAACTGCATCGCCACCCACGAGTCCAATGGCATTGACATCATCACAGCCCTGATCCTCAATGACATCAATCCTCTGGGGAAGAAGAGGATGGACCTGGTGTTGGAACTGAAGGCAAGTAGTCACAGACAGTAGCTTTGGAAAGCGGCCCCTTCTGCGTTTTGCCTCAGCGTGGGACCTGGCCACTGTGAAACCAAATAGTAAAGGCGGCTCTTTTCAACGAAACGAATGCGCCACGTTGCACGTTCTGACTGAAACGCAGAACTTCAGTCTTGTGCTTCCAAATAAGGGTCTTGTGACTGGAGAGCAGGTTGTCACCTCTCGGGTCACAGGGAGGGAGAAGTCACCCCTCACAGCTGACAGACCGATTCGAGCAGCAGGGAAGCACTAAGTCTCAATGCCGAAAGGCCGGCCAGGAAACAGTGGGGCGGACTTTCCCCCATTGAGGAGAAAGGGCCCATTGAAGAACATACAATTAAACTTACATAGGACCCAAAAGTGCTATTTTCACATTGCCAGGGAGTACCTTTTTCGATTCTGTTATTGATTTAGCAGAAGGTGGCTCGAAAATGTTGGTTGAAAATGAGGGAGTTACCCGGGCCAGCAGCGTGCCTGAGGCCCCTGACAAGTTTGACTCATGTACAGATGGTGGCCCCCAGAAGTGTGATGTGGGAGCACCACGGACACGGTGACGCTGTTGTACCAAATGGTCTCAGGGCTGAAAGGCATGACGTCAAGGTGCTCGGGCTGCTGGGTTTACAGGCCGGCCTCTCAGGTGTTTGAGAAGCTGATATACCGTTCCTGAGGTTGATTGCTTCAGTGTAACAAAACAAAACAAAACAAAACCACGCCTCGCTCCTGTGGAGGGGCTCCAGAGCTGCTCCAAGAGTTCAGAACTCCAGTTCTGAGAACTGGACTTGCGGCCCATCCTGGGGGTCTAACGTGTATTCCGTGTCAGCCTCACTGAGCACTTTTCCTCCTGAACCGTTCCCACGTCGGGGCGTGTTGAGATCTGTCCTGTCTTACACTCGTGCACGGCAGCAAGCGCTGCTCATGGTCACAGAAGAGCCCAGAACTGCAGGGTTCAGCCGCAAAGGTGACCTGTGCTTATTGCATAAACGGTGACATAGGAAAGAAAGGTTGTTATGGAGGGGTTAACACAGAAACCCACAGGAATTGCAGTTATTTTTATTCCTTTAGTATTTAGAAGCGAGAGTCCAAACTAGTAATTGATTTGGGTGTGTGGATGAAATGGAAGTTTTGGGGTTTTTTTGCTATTTTTACCTCCTTTGGCAACTTGTGTTGTACAGTAGACACGATCATCATTGAAGCTCACACCCCTGACCGCCATTTATCAGAGTGTCTATGATGAGAACCTGAAATAAACTGAGAATTTCGTGTGCTCCTGGCCAGCATTTCAGTGACTTTTTCAACTAATCCAGTAATCTGTGGATTATGACAGCAATGCCTGCCCTTTGAAAAGCCACGGTTTGATAGCACGGCTGGCTGATCGCACTGCTGTGACCTGTGCTTGGGGAGGAAAGAAACACTGCCCCCTGTCACCCAAAACAACAGTGACTTTCAAGTCCTAACACAAAGGCATGCAGACGACACAGGCCCAGGTCCCAAAATGAGGCCACGCCAGGAGTGCAGGGCGTGGACCTGTGACACTGCAATGGGAAACCGTGTTTGGGCACACACACGGAGCTCCCTGAGTCCCTTTCGTGCACTGCTGTGTTCTCATTATAACATTAGGGCTTTGGAGAGCTGATAGCAATATTTGAAGGTTCTCAGCTCTGCCTTTGCTGGGTCACCTTGGGAAGCGTTACCTTAATTGCCCGCCTTCTCTGGCCTATGAGGCTGAGTGACAGCGTTTCTAACTATGCCCACCCTGAGGCATGGGGTCTATAGAGCAGGCTCTCCCTGACCACCATCACCATGGGGGGAGCCCATGTACCCACAGCACCCACCTTAAATTTCCTGTTTCCGCCAGGACTGGTGCCAGGAAACGCTAGGGAGAATCGATGCCCAAACGTGCACACACCTCAAAGACCCACACTAGGTCTCGCAGACGTGTTTTGGGATCTGAAGTGGCACATTGTCCGCCTGGGGCAGCCGGTTTCTGGTCTACTTGGTGCATGGCTCTCCCAAGGAGTGACATGTCTGTCTAGCCAGGACGCAGCGCCGTGTCGCAGGCACGTGCGTACAGGCCGCCACCCCACGCTCCCCCTCCATTCCCTCCTTCCTCTGCTTCCCCAATTAGAACAATGCCTCGAAGCTGCTCCTGGCCATCATGGAGAGCAGGCACGACAGTGAGAACGCCGAGAGGATACTGTATAACATGCGGCCCAAGGAACTGGTGAGTGGACGGCTGACCCCTGGCCCCGGCGCCCGGTCGCGGCAAGGCTTGCGTTGTGGCTGAGCCGGAATGAGCTTCCTTGAGCTTTTCTTAAAGATGCCCCAGATCAGGAGCATGAGGAGACAATGGCCTCAGGCCTCTAACTAGGAAGGAAGGCGAGGCGCTGCCCTGGTGAGTGGTACCCGGTACCTCCCTCCCCCCGGCACGACCACAGGGACGCTGCCCTCGCACGCCCGCCTTGGGGCAGACAAAGCAGGCGGTGGCCCCGGAGCCCACACACGGGAGTCTGGGTTCCCAGCTCCGCCCTTTCGCTGGGTCACGTGGGCAAGGACTCAAACTCTTGGGGCTGCGCCTTCTCATCCCCACAAGGAGGGTGGCGATGCCACCCAGTGCGGACAGCTATTCCCAGGGCTCGACAAGTGCCCGGCAGGCCCCTCAGCCCGCTCCATCCGCAGCCCCTTTTCTTCTCTCCTCGTTCACAGCTGCTCTTTTCACCATGTCTTCATCCAGAGCTAAAGAATCACGTGTCTTCTTGGTGCCACTAGTCTGGGCAACAGAAGAGTGTTTCTTGGGTGCCGATGTTTTGGGTTTTATTATTTCTTTTAAAGAAAAGACAATCTTGTTTGTTTCTGAGGGGCGACACCCCCATTTGGCTACGTCTTGCAGGTGGGGTGCTGGCACTCCGGCCTGTGCAACCAGCAGCTCTCAGACAGTGAAATGAGCCCAGGATGGGACTCTCGATTTGGACTTTTTCCCACGCAGATAAACTGTAACTGACAGACCTAAATTAGGGCACTAAAACTTTTCTGCTGCCTGTGACCTAATGTGCACTCGGGGCCAGGCCAAAGTCCTTTTAGGTATCCCTTTAAATAAAGTTCACAGCGAGCCCAGCTTTTGATCTCAGAGGTCAGGAGTGAGTCCTCAGCCCAAGACAGGCGTCCTCACGTTTATGTAACAGCTTATATAACTGGGGTGGAGGAGGAGGCTAGGGCTTGTCACGCTTGAGCAGGGATGGATGGCTTCACAGAGACCCCTTTCCAACTCCCGTGAATGGAGAGCACGCCCCCATCTCTGTGGGGAACCGGCACCCCCCAGCGCGGTGGGTGCCACCGGTGCCTGCGTCGCCCCTTTGTGGGTGAGTGGCACCATCCCGGCTCACGGGGAAGAGTCAGAGGCTTTCTGGAACAAACCCAGTTCTAAGACTCCATCTACATAGCTGCGAAGCTCTAAGGCCCAGAACACGTGAGCACACGTGTGTGTGCATGCCTGTGAGCGTGAACGTGCGCGCACGCGCGTGGGTGCGTGTGTGTGTGTGTGTGTGTGTGTGCCGGCCCCCCACATCCTGTGCAGCTTATTATCTGTTCCATTTGAGAGAGCACCGGTGTGAAAACCAGCTCGGAGAGCAAGGACCCTGTCTCATGAATTATTTCCAGGGCCCGACCTGGTGTCGGTAAAGAAATGTGAGGCCCTCCACGCCCTTGGTCTCAGGGACTGAGAAGCAGCTGCGTGTCCTGTGGCACCGTCCCTCTCTGAAGTAGAGGGGCATGAGCCAGCCGCAGAACGTCTACTGGCCGAGGGAGAGCGAGTGGGTTTCACTGCTCGGGGCAGTGGAGGGGGGTGGGCAGCGGCTGCCTGTGGCAGTGCTGAAAGGGTTCTGAGGCTGTGCCCACGCCGGCAGGAGAGCGCTGAGCCTGACGGGGGCCTGCGGGGGCGCTGAGGCTTGTGTGCTGCACGTGCCAGTCCACGTGCGGCCTCCTTGACGCGGGGCTGTGTTTGCTTGGCCCTTCTTGCAGGTGGAAGTGATCAAGAAAGCCTACCTGCAAGGGGAGGTGGAGTTTGAGGATGGAGAGGACGGCGAGAACGGCGAGGAGGGGGCTGCCTCCCCCAGGAACGTGGGGCACAACATCTACATACTAGCTCACCAGGTACCCGCTCTGCCCAGGCCGCCTGCCCCCTGCCGCACACCTGAGCAGGACATGCCCTTCCCCAGGCTTTAACCCAGGTCGCTGGTGTTCCTGAGCGTGAGGCTTGCAGGCACCGGGGCAGCCTGACCCGTGAGCTGAGCCCAGGACTGACATGTTCCCACTCGGGTGGGTCACGTCCCTGGAAATCCCCCCGCTTTTAAACGCATTCCCACTGAGCAGCGGCACGTACATGGCTGGTGACTGCCTGGAGACAGCTGCAAGGAGTCTCAGGCTTTTCATAAATATTGATGAGTCTGTCTTAACCATCTAAAGAAATCAACCTCGGCTGCCTTGACTATCATGTTTGGAAATCTTTGGCAGCTGACCTATCATTGTGACTTCTTTTTGTTTGCTTTTTGGGGGATGTGGTAATCCTTCCTAGCCTGGCACCCAAATGCCCTGTTTCGTAATTCTCTTCCCAAGGGGCTGCGCTTTTGAAGACACTTCCTGTCTGTGGAGGTCGACGTGCCTCCGCTTGCCAGAGTGTGAGAGCAGCCTGTAGTCTGCCGACTGCAGGCTGGTGTTTCCTGCCCCCATCGCCTCTTAGGTCCAGGAATTGGACCTGAAACAAGGACGGTGTTGGGCCGAGGTCGCTAGGCCCTGCGACAGCATGCTGGTGGAAGGAGGGAAAGCGGCACCCCGCCCTTATCGCCTCCATTCCTGGCACTTAGCCACCACGAGGGTGTCAGAACCTTCTGCACGAGGCTCCGGGGCTGTACAGAAACCCCATCTCCCTCCTGCCTGGCTAAAGAAACCAGGGGGACGTGGGGCCTCGCGTGGGCATGACCTTTCTCGGCTGTTCTGCCAAGCTCCCCAAATAGCTGTCGGGCACCTCGATGGGCGGCGGCTGCCCCCTGTGCCCTCAGCCTGCCACCCGTCGTTCTGCCCCCGCGACACCCGCGTCGGAAAGGAGCATGTGCGTTCCCCTCGCAGAGGGACATGCTCGCCCTGTCTCTGCTCTGTGTCCCAGCTGGCTCGGCACAACAAGGAGCTGCAGAGCATGCTGAAACCCGGGGGCCAGGCCGAGGGGGACGCAGCCCTGGAATTCTACGCCAAGCACACAGCCCAGATCGAGGTAACGCGAGCGGGCGCCGGGCTCGGGCCCCTGCTGGGCCGACACGCGCGTGTTTGCGCAGTTAGGGGTTGTGAGCACCTGCTGTATACCAGGTACTGCGCTCGGGGGCGAATGTCTGGTGATGGCCAAGGCAGCCCTGGTGCCCGCTCAAGGCCCCGCGAGGAGGCAGGCATTGAGCAAGCCCGCGAGGGCGTGGCATTCAGTACGAATCCTGCCCGGGCCACGAGGACAGGGCTAAGTGGAAGGTGTTATAAGAAAGTCCAGCAGAGGGACCCGCAGTCGCCTGTGGACTTCGAAGCACAGACCTTAAGGAGAATGAGGATGAAACAGGCAGAGATACAGGGCAGAGCTTCAGACCCGGGATAACAGGAGGGGACGCCCTGAGGCGGGAGATGCTGGAACATGGCCCGGGGGCTGGACTTCAGGCAGCACCCATCAGAGGTGAAAGACAGGCGGCTGTGCCCCTGCAGAGTCTCAGCCTCCACGAGAGGCCTGGACTTCACCCTGAGAGCGTGGGGACCTGAGGACACTTTTGCACAAAGCAGTGATACAATCAGGTCCGCATTAAAAAGACAGACTCACAAGCCTTACTAATATGCTTGGTGAGCTCAGTGGGGTTAGCTCCATTTTGCATACGGGAAAACTCTGAAACAAGGTGCAGAGAGGTTATGTCACTTATCCAGTTACCAGTGGTAGGGCTGGAATTCTAAGCCAGGTCTGCCCGCCCCCAGGGCCCGTGGGTGCATTTTGTGTTCCCTGCATTGTCTCTGAGTGTGCGGGTAACATGGACTTCTGACTCCAGGCTCTAGGCCGTCAGAGTGACGGGCCTTGTTTGGCTAATGAGGAAATGCACAAACTATCAGTGTTGGAACCTAGGTTCTGAAGTACTGACGACTCCTTTGGGCCATATAAAATATTCAGGATGGAGACTTCTTAAGAATCTGTCCTTACCCAGTGTCTCAAGTCTCTGGGCTGGCCTAATAAAATGCGTCATCTCACTGATTAGCTGCCCATGACTGTGTATGTGGGCAGATACCCTTAATTTATTGTTAACGACTAGACGCTTGATGGGAGAGCCAGCTCTGACCTTTGGAGCCCTTAAAGGACAAGCTTTAGGTGTTTGCAGGAGAGGCTGCAACCTCAGAGATCACCTCATTGAGCTCTAATTTACTGGGGAGAGTTGTGAACAAGGACACGCACACACACACACACACACACACACACACACACACACACACACACCCCACCCCACCCCACCCTGCCCGCCCCTTAGGGTGGGAGAAGGACCACACTGTTTTCTCCTGACTCCCAGTTGTAAGTCTGCAAGTCTGCTGAAAATGAGATGTCGGTCCATCTTAAATGATAAGGAGAAACGGCCAGGCCTGATGTCCCCGCTCTCCTGCCCTGCCCTGGGCCGGCCAGCCGTCTCTCCCCATTTCCCCAGGGCGCTGTCTATGCAGAGCCAGAGCCCCGTGGCTTTCCTCCAGACCCCAGTGCCTTCTGTCTGGTGACTCAGGCCGGGTAGCCCTGGACCCTGCGCTCGGTTCTTGCCAGCAGGCTTCCCGTCTCCTCCGTTACCTCCCCAGTCCAGACACACTTCTGAGATCCTAGCGTGAGGAGGGACCGAGGCAGAGCCCACCCGGCTGTGTGAAGCTGGCAGGCTCTGAAGAGCTGGTCCCTGAGCCTGTGTGCACACCAGTGTCACGTGGGGAGCTGGATCACGGGCAGCTCTCGGCACCAACCCCCACCTCACAAGTCCGGTTCAGTGAGCTTGGCTTAGGGACCAGGATCGGTGTGATAGTGAAGTTTCCTGTAACCTGATCTCTAGCTAGATTTGGGAACCATTGGTCTAAAGACCACGTCTCCCAGAATTTATGGAGCCAGGGCTGTGGGAACCTGTCTCACCCCTGAGAGACTTTCCCACGACAACTTGACCTTGCTGCAGCAGGGAGAGCGAGAACCAGATCTTCTTGTAGAGGGCGTTGGCCCTGGGCCTCCGCTGACTTCTCCAAGCCCTGGAGAGGAAGCATAAAAAGAGGCCATGCCCCTATTGTGCTGCACCCCCTTTTGAAATCTCTAGCCCCCAGGACTGTGACTCACACAGAGCCTTAGAATTTGAACAATCCTGACCAGACTACCTCGTCTCTGGGGACTGAGCCAGTCTGGGAACAGCGTGGAGAAAGTCTGTGAGGTGTCCCTCCTGGGGCCCGACCAAGTCAGTGCTGACTGCGCACAATGGTTCTTGCATCACGCATTTTATTTTAGACACTGACAAGTAAGAGGGAGGACATCATCGCAACTGGATGAAGAAAGATTTCTTTCTAAAGTTCCTACCAAGGAAAAACAACCCAACTTTACTGCGTGAGAAAGGATCTTAAGAGAGGTGTGCCCAGCGCTGTCCTGTCCAGTAGGAGAGCCATGAGCTATGTGTGGCTGTTTAAAATCCAGTAAAATTAAACATTCAGCCCCGCTGTTGCCCTAGCCACATGTGCTGGTGCTCGGTGGCCATGTGGGACTAGTGGCCATGCTTTCAGACATGACAGACACACAGATGCAGAGCTGTGCTGACATTACAGGATGTACTATTGGATGGCCCCAGCCTGGAGCCCCAGCAGAATGTCTGTACAAAGCACAGTTTCTGTCGCTCCAGGTAAGTTAGTCATAGTAAAATGAGTTGGTTTGAGGTGAGAAAAACACTCTGATAGACTTGCCAAAACTATTCTCTATGAACCTGAGATGCAGCCCAGTGTGGGCGTCGTACAGCCAGAGAGGAGTCGAGAACAGGCCTGTATTACACCCCGTCTTGGACCCTGAGCCCGTAGCCAGGATCCTGAGTGACAGGCTCGCGAGGACCACTGTTTCAGCCCCTGCGTTTCTCCCCGTAGATTGTCAGACTAGACCGGACCATGGAGCAGATTGTCTTTCCCGTGCCCAGCATCTGCGAATTCCTAACCAAGGAGTCCAAGCTGCGAATCTACTACACTACAGAGAGGGACGAACAGGGCAGCAAGATCAACGACTTCTTCCTGCGGTCCGAGGACCTCTTCAACGAGATGAACTGGCAGAAGAAACTCCGAGGTGGGTGGGTGCGCGCGCTGCGCCTGCAGCGTCTGAGCAGGTGGCAGCGCGGGCGGTTCTGGGCGTGGCGCTGCCTGCACTTGTCTCCAGGTGGGAGCACAGCTGGTGTGATTTACGGTGCTTCCCACCTGTGGGCACCAGGACGTACTAGACACACACCTGTGTAGCGCTGAATGGGTTCCAGCCTCAGGAACCCCTGAGGAAGCTTTCCTCTGCAAAGCTCCCTTCTGCTGCCTTGACTGGAATCCGTGGACTTCTGGAATGCGCTTCTGGTATCTCGATGCAGGAAGCAAGAGGGAGGGAGACGAGACCAAGCCCTGAGCTGACAGGAGGGTGCATCTGAGCAGGGCGTGCAGCCAGCTTGACGGCCCCACGTGCCAACACACCTGCTCAGAAAACACTGCTCTCCCCCTTTCCAACGGCAGCTCGGGTTTTAGACTCGAGTGTCGTCTTCTAGGCAGCGGGATCAGCTGCCACATGAGCTGCGTCACTGCTCAGCAGCAGGTCCAGGATGAGCACTGCCACTCGGGAAATCGCGCATCTGAAACACTTTCATGGGGCTGCCCAGCCCTGGTTTTCATGAGCGTTTTAATGTGACCCTTCAGCACCAACTGTTATGACCAGCTTAGAAAGGCGTGAGCTTTATTTCTGTCTGTCAGGAGCTGGGTTTTTATTGGAAGCCCTGGGTTCCGGCTACAGTTGTGATCTTTGGGGCACTCTCTGTGGGGTGGGGCTACAGGAGGGGAAACTGGGGTGGAGGTCAGCTTCTGTCCTCTTCCTGCCCCCCACCAATCTGAGCAGGAACAGACCAGCCTCCCTTACTGCAAGCTGCTTCTGTCACCGCTTTTCTCCCTACCTCCCTGCACCCCAAGATTTGGCTGGTGGCAGAAAGGGTTGTGCGAGCAAGTTGGCCAGAAGACCCATTCCCACCTCACCTCCAAGGGGCGCCTCATCATCCAACTTTAAAACATTATAAAACGTCTTGCTGGGCCAAACCCATTCCTCACCCAGCCCTGTACTTGGCATCTGACAGAGGGGCTAGTAAGCCATTAGCAGGACAGCACGTGTGCCCTCCTTGGTACAGACCTCAGAAGGCTCGGTAGATTCTCCCCAGTGTCAGTGTGGCCTTGTCACCCACGGGACCTCATCTGAGCTCCTCCAGCTCAAACATCATGAATAGTGTTGGGTGTCTACACAGCTCCATCCTAGGACAATAAGAGAAAAAGAGACACCCCAAAATAGGGAGACAGACCCCCCCCTTCATACTTGCATATTTTCAGCTTTGATGCACAATGGAAGGGAACTTACTCTTAGCTCTGCTTTTGTCCTTCCCTGGGCTGTTCCTTGATTTCAGCTATCGGGGAGAATCCTGAATTCATGGATCCAAACCTGTATGGTAGTTACTAAAACATGGCTTCACCCTTATTGGTGCAGGGCTGCACTAGGACTGGTCCCATAGATCCCCTCTCAGAATGGTGTGGTTCTGAGTTCCAGTCTTCTCTGCACCCCCTCTCCCCTGCACCCCCTCTCCCCTGCACCCCCCGCAGATGACGTAACTGCCCCCAGACCCTTTTCTGTAGGGTGGGGAGTTAAGAATGCCTGACTGCAGAATGGCCGCCTCATGTTCCCAGATGTATATTACATTGTAGCTAATACCTTATTTAGTCTCCCTTTGTTTTAGAATCAGTTTTCATTTCATGAAACAAGCATAGCTATAGTTGGCAACTGAAAGATTTTAATTGGGTTCAACACTGTCGGCTGGGAAGAGAAAAGTTGAAAATAATAGCTGAATTAAGCATGATTTGCATATTGAGGGAGGGGATAGATATACTCATCAGAAGCGCAACTAAAATGAGATACATTTTTTTCCCCTCTAAGTAGCTTATCTAATGAATCTGCAAAAAAGATTTTTCTGGCTTATTCATGAGGCTGCTGTACCTTTTCCTGAATGTATCACACAGATTGTCTGTGCTTTGGCCAACCTGCCGCCGGGGCCAGACAGAAACTGAGGTCTGAGGCTGACGTTGCTTGGTATTTTCTCCTGCAAGCATTAAAATGCTCAATTCCTAGACTTCCCAGAAGAAATCCTCTTCCTTGCTCCACTGCACGTGCGTGCACAAACCCCCACCACCACCACCACCACCACCACCATGCATTCACATCCCCTCTCGATCACGCTGCTCTGACACCTCCTCAAGCCTCGCCCCAGTGAAGTGAAAACTCCAGGTCAAAGAAACTCGAAGATAGTGAAAGAGGGAATGGAGGCAGAGCTGCATATGCCGACACTTGCTCGCCTGGGGCTCCCGCTCATGGTTACCCCATGCATCAGAGCAGAGGTGGGAATGCTGTCGCTGTATGTACGAGGAGCCCAAGTCATCGGCAAGGGGCACTTCCTTTAAAAACAAACAAAAAACTAGGAAAGGCCATTACCAAGAGATGCCCTGGGTTGCAGCTATTTAAGTTGCCCGCCTACCTGGGATCAGGCAGTCTGTCTTTTCCACAGTGATGTAGCAGGTGTATCGAGCCAGGCACCTTTTAGCCCCTAGTAAGCAGAAACGTGCTAGCAGGTAGAGCGGAGAATTCAGCGATAGGTCAGCTCCATTCCCTCCCTGAGAGGATGTACCATCTTGGAGGTGTGGGCGGGGAGCAGACCACATGCCGTGTTTTTAGTGTCTGTAATTTAAGTGGCCGATTACAAGCAGGATGGTAATCAGGCACTGACACATTGTGGACATATGAGAGAGGGAGGCTTCTGAGAAAAGGTGAAATCAGAATAGCAACTCAAAGGGTAAACACGAGCCTGAAGGTGGGGGAAACGGAAGGCGAGTTCATTTCCTGGTGCCGCTGTGACACATCACCACAAACCCGGAGTCCTACGACGACGTAAGTGTATTAGCTTCCAGTTCTGGAGGCCAGGAATCTGAAAAGGTCCTCGCTGGGCTCACACCAGCATGTTGGCAGGGCTGTGAGCCTCCTGGAGGCTGCAGCCTTTCCCAGCTTCTAGAAGCTGCCTGCGTGGCCTTCGTGGCCCCTTCCTCCGCCTTCAGAGCCGGCAGAGGCCAGGAGCGCCTTCTCATGCTGCACCCGTCTGGCTCTCACTCCTGCCTCCCTCCTCCACGTACAAGGACCCTGAGATGACGCTGGGCCCCCTGGGATCATCCAGTCATCTCACCACCTCAGGGTCCTTCGCTTCATCACAGCAGCAGAGTTCCTTTTGCCGCTTAAGATAACATAGTCACAAGATCTGGGGATTAGGATGTGGGCGTGGTTGGGGGGCCTGTTATTTTGCCCACCACAGAAGGTATGTTAGTTGCATTCTGTTGCTGTGTAATAAACTACCCCAAAGCTTAGTGCCGTGAAGCACTAAGTACTTACGTTCTCAGTTTTTCAGGATCAGGAATTTGGGAGTGGCTCAGCTGGGTGAGCCAGAGCTACTGTCAGCTGAGGGCTGGACTGGACCAAAAAGACCCACTTCTTTGCTCACTCACATGGCTGTTGGCCAGAGGCCTCAGTTCCTCTCCACGTGGACCTCCGTGGGGCTGCTTGAGTGTCCTCACAATGTGGCAGCTGGTTTCCTCAGAGCAAATGACTGATGAGAGGGAGGGAGAGAGAGACAAGGGGGTGGGGAGAGAGGGAGAGAGGACGCACGTGCCAGGAGGAAGCTGTGCCCTTGAGGACCTGGGCTCAGGAAGCTTGTCCATCACTGCCACTCTGTCCTGTTTCTTAGAAGCAAGTTGCTGTTTAGTAACTTGTACTTAAAGCACACACTTAAGAGGAAGGGAATTAAGCTGCACCCCTTGAAGGGAGGAGCATCAAAGGATTTGTGGACATGTCTGTAATTCGTCCTGAGGGAGTGCCCAGAGGCTGGAAACTGCAGGATGTGTTCAGGAGACCATCCCTAGACTGGCAAAGGCTGCGTATATGGGGTGGGAAGCAGGAGGAAAGTCTGGAAAGGGAGGTGACGACGCGGTTCCACCTGTCACAGGAGACCGCAGACAGTGCACATCAAGGTTGGTCTCTAAGTGTCTCCTTGCACCTGGATGGACACCCCGCTGATTCGAAGGACTGAATGTTTGTTCATATTCAGGGGGACACTACATTTCAGTAGAATGTTAGCCTTACAAAAATAAGTTTGTGAGATACTGCCATCGTTGAAGGCCATTTGTCACAGTGTGTTACAGCAGCCTGCAGGGGCTCCTCCCACATTTGCTGGGGAGAGCCCCCTCTGAAGATGGCTGGCTTGCAAGGACCGTCACCGACCTTTGCCATGTCCTTTGTTTTTTTCTGTTGACTTCTTATGCGCTTTTTACGCAAATGTGGAGAGAATGCTGTCAGTCCCCGTGCAGCCCTCAGCTTCAGCGATTCCCGGCCTGTTCCCATTCTCCCGTCCCTCTCTCCTCCTCAAAGTCTTCCCATCCGGACCAGCAGTGGGCGCCAGTCCCAGAGAAACGCTGATGGCCATGTTTCCAGAGCACGTGATTTCTCATCTCCAATCTGCCTCAGCCATTAGCTCATCAGCACAGGTCCCCTGTTACCTGGTGCTCAGCTCCCCCCTGAGTGGCGACCTGAGCCACTTATGTCTGTCCCTGTCACTGACCCCCAGAGGATCGCTAATCTGAGTGACGGGTTCTCCACAGCTTCTGCCCTCAGCTGGGCCTCAGTTTCCCTCATTTATAAAATGAGAGATTTTTTTTTTAACTAGACAGTGCTCATAACTCTAAACCTACAGCCTGGAAACATGCCTATTGCCACGTGCAAATGTGAAACGACCAATTATGAAATTGCCCAGGACTCGGTTTTGTGCTTTATTTTAAGCAGAAGCTCCCGCAGGTCTGGCTGCAGCTGTGGTATCATTGTAGGGCCATTGGATTTGTCGTTGCCACTGTCCTAAAGTTAACTGACTTCACGGGAATGAGGACCGCGTGATGGAGGCCCCTTCTTGTACGCCCCGCTTTTCTTTGGAGGGGATGGTGTTGAGTGAGACTAGCTTTTGGGAACTTGGCCTCCGGCCGGGAGACTGGAATTACTCCTTCCACGTGTGTTTCTGAGCACCAGCTAAGTGTAAGGCACCCCAGAAGAGGTAGGCAGAAAGGAAGCACCAGGGTCCTCAGCGTGCCACAGGCTGGGGCTCGAACGCTGGGAAGGTGCGGCGTGGTGTCACCTGGTAACAGCAGAGCAAGGTGGCAGCAGGACCGGAAGTGCCTGTCCCGCACGCAGTGGTGGCTCTGGTGCCACCCCCTCCCTCCACTGTAGCCTTTGGGAATGGGAGCGCCGCTCTGACCACCCGGCCGGCAGCTCTCCCTCTCGTCCCCCCGGCCCCAAGAGTGGTCATCAGACTTCAGGAAAATGGCAGGTGACTCGGTGTCGGGAGACGGGCCTTGTCTTGCTTTTAGGCACCATGAGTTAGTAGAGAACTTTGAGTAAGGAGGGGTGAGGGGCATGTGAAAATGGCAGCCGTCCTAGTCTGGGGCCCAGCTGGGCCAAGTCTGAATGCCACGTGTCCCCCCACGACCAGTGCCCCACCCACACTTCTCACAGGCGCATTGAAGTCGCAGGTCTCTCTGGGCATCTTGTCTGGTCCCAGAGCCATGCGGGGAACTCAGGACTCAGCGCATGAACGGTGGATACCCCCAGATTCCGTAACTGAGGGCGTTGACCAGGGCCAGGCAGGGTTTCCAATGCTCCAACCTTTCTCCTCCTCTTCCGTGTCCCTAAATACATCTTCTGTTCCAGTAAGTACTCCGAGCAGAAATAAACCAACCTGCTGTCATTACGAACCTTCAGAACACATGGCCATTTTCACTGTTGTGGTGGAAGCCGGGGGCCGAGCGGGAGGGGGCGGTGTGGCGCGCCCAGCGGGACCTCAGCGGCCGTCTTGTCTCCGCAGCCCAGCCCGTGCTGTACTGGTGTGCCCGCAACATGTCCATCTGGAGCAGTATCTCCTTCAACCTGGCCGTCCTCATGAACCTGCTCGTGGCCTTCTTCTACCCGTTCCGAGGCGTCCGAGGAGGTACCTCGCTGTGACATCAGGGGGGCTGCTGGGAGCAGCGGGGTGCTGGGACTCGCCCCGTCACTGGGACCCCAGGCGGGATCAGCACAATATGGGGGGCCCCATGACCCACCTCAGACTAGATGACACTGGAGCTCTTACCACAGGTTTCGTTTTAAATCTAACTTTAAAATAATAGAAGGTTCCTGTCTGTATTTATTGACCAAGACAGAAGCTGTACCCTGTTCAACCTGTAAGAAACCATCTCAGGCGGCCTCCCCGTTGTGTGTGTTGGGAAACGGTGTCTCAGAGAAGTTGAGACGCTCAGCCAAGTCTCAGAGCTAGCCCCAGAATCAAGATATTTTGATGCACAGTCTGGTAGACTTTTTTTTTTTCTACGTAGCATATTTCTAGAGTTGATTTCAGACTAACAAATTTGTAATAAATCTCTAGAATTTTTGGGGGGGATGGGCAAGGTGGGGCGAGGCAGGGCTTGAGTGACTGTAGACTGTGCGTCCTTGGGTATTTAGCCGTAAGAGTGACATGCCATAACTCCCATAGTAACACGTGACGTCCATGTTCCTGTGGACCTCCATCCCGCCACCTGTGTGCACACTCCCCGTACTTTGCTGAGGACAAGCAAACAATTCGGGAGGGGCACGTATGCACTGGTATCCTGGAGGCATTCGGGTCCTGGGAGAGGTGACTCCTGGCTCATGGTCCATGGCCCCCTTTCTGACACCTACGGCCGTCTCCTGGGGGTCAACTTTTCAGCTCAGTTTTTTCTCAGAGCTTCTTGGCAGATCAGCTCGCATACGTGTGTGACAAATGCCAGGAGCCATCTCGTGTGAAACATGGGATAAAGGCCCTAAAGTAAGACACAAACAACACAGGAGTGAGTTCTAGGCCGAGCTCTTGAGCCGGGCAGTGCAGGTGTGGACACATGGATGACAGCCCACGGACACTTAGCGACAGTACGTTACGGTCAGATCTGACACTGATGATGTGTTGCAAAGCGTGTGTCTCTAACTTACCCATTTGAGGAGCTAGCTTTTCTGTTTGGCCTTAGTCACACTGAAAGCTCTGTTTGAGTGATTTTTCCCCCCTGGAAAGGACTATCTAAACACAGGTCCAGGGGGCTTTCCTTTTAGATGCCATGTCAGGAATCCTAAGTGCCCTGGATGGAAGGATTCACCAGCCCCACAGGGCTGCCAGGTTTTCTCCGAAGGCACGTCTGCCTGAGCCGGGCGGCCAGTCAGCAGAGGCAACAGTGAGGAGTGGTCAGCCAGGAGCTCGGTCGGAGGTGAAAGGGCCCAGGCCTCCTTTCGCCTCAGGGGAGTCGCCATGTGCATCCCAGTAGGCTCTTCAGCCGTGACTGTGGATGTGTTTCATTTCCCCTCCATTTCTTTAAAAATATTTTAAAGTGATTTTTATTATACACCTTGACCATTTTCTTTGCTGGTCATTGTGGCAGCCTTGAGGCCATGTCTGGGGACAGTTAGGTGACAGCTCCCGTCCCCTTCAGTGCCAAGCCTGGTCCAGTGGGGACCTGGACCTGGAAAGTCTAGACTTGGCATCCAGGCCTAGGAGAGCCGCTCTGGTAGTCCCCCTCACCCTCTCTCTCTGCAAGGAGCTTACATGGAGCCAGTGGTTGTGAAACTGTGGTGTGGACTTTGAAATTCCTGCCGAGTTCAGGGACAGAGAGTTGCTGACCCAGCCAGGCTCTCTGGGATATCCTGTTTGCTGCCCATCCAAGTATGACACCCACTGAATTGGTCCTTCATTTATGATGGACCAATGATTTAGGTCCTTCCAACTCGACATGTGGCTCTGATGTGACATCAGCTCTGGCTGGTCTGTAGGAGTCCAGGCACCCTGTTTTGGCAATGGGGGCCTTAGACCTTCATGTGAATGGACTGAAGGGGAGGCACAGTTAGATCTACAGGGCGAAATGGAGGTTGATCGGACCTCAAGAAGTCCTTTCCATTATACAGTGACTGAGATCGCCTCCAACCCACCCGCTCACTTGCAGGGAGATTTATTTTTTTCTTTTGTGAGACATTGTGGGGGTGTCTTCCGTACTCACTGCTAACCATCTGCAAGAGAAGGGTTGTGTTAGCCCTGCGTAGAAACAAGCAATACCTGAAAGTATTTCTTTGAGATCAGTGTTTTTTCTTGTCAACTCCTAAAACTAGGATTTCCAAAATGCCCCTCTGGAATGCATGGAATGCTTTGTTCATGTGCTGATGTGGCTCTGGCCTTATAAGGCCTGTGGCTACCGGGAGCACCCGTGGCCTTAAAAGCTCCCCTCAAAAGTGTGATTTCCCCCCATTATTTCAGAACAGATGAGTTACACCGTCTTTCAAAAGCATGAACCTTAGACAGCTTTAGAGTTCATACTGAATTTGTGAGCATGTCATGATAATTAAAGCAAACACAGTACTACTTTTTTAACTTTTTTATTATTGAAATTTTCAAATATTGTAGAAAGAACAGTATGATACATTGCCATGTACCCATCAGCCCAGCTTGAACAATTACCAACGTTTTGCCATTTTTGTTTCCTCCATCCTCCTCCTATATTTTCTGAAACATTTAAAAGAAGTCTAGACATCTTGTTGTTTTGCCCATAAATATTACATTGTGCATCTCTAACTTAAAAGGATTGTTAAATATGTACAGTAACCATCCCATCATCATATCTAACAAAACTAACAGTAAATCATGTAATAGTCTGTCCATTTTTATGTTTCTCCAATTGTCTCAAAGATGTCTTTTTATAATATTTTTTTAATCTAGCATTTTTAAAGACTGCTTTTAAAGTAGGGAGACCGCAGGTTTTAATACTGGCCCCTTCAGGATGTGGGTGCATGCTTTGTACTTGTCATATTTATTATATTGGGATCTTAAGAGGCAGCTTCAGATGGTGGCTAAGCACTTAAGAAAATTAAAGGCAAGCCACAGGCTGAAAGAAGATATTTACAAAATATGTATCTGACAAAAAGCTTGTATCCAGACTATATAAAGAACTCTTGCAACTCAATTATAAAAAGACTACCCAATTAAAACAATGGGCAAAAGACTTGATCCGACACTTCACACACACACAAAAAAAGACAGGTGGCCAATAAGCTCCTGAGAAGATATTCTGCATCACTAGTTACCGGGGAAATGCAGATGAAAACCACAATGACATAGCACTACACACCTGCTAGGATGGCTGAAATTAGGAAGACGGACAACACCAGGTATTGATGATGATACGGAGCAAATAGGACTCCCGTAATTACTGACGGGAAGGACAGATGCCACAGTCACTTTGGAAGACAGAATGGTGGTGTCTTATAAAATGGAACATATACTTAGGATTCAAAAACTGACTCCCATGTATGTGTCCAAGAGAAATGAAAACATATGTCCATGCCAAGATTTGTACTTGAATGTTCTCAGCTGCATCATTCGTTAGTAACTCCAAACTGTAAACAACCCAAACATCCATTCATTGCTGAGTGGATAAATCAATTGTGGTATATCCATGCTATTGAACTCAGCATTAGAAAGAACCAAGTATTAATACATGCAGTAATCTGAGCGAATATTAAAAATTTGCTAAGTGTAAGAAATTTAAAGCCTACCTACTGATATGTTTATCTTTTCCATTTGTATGAAATTCTAGAAAATGCAAAGTTGCAGTGATAGGAAGCAGATCAGTGGTTGCCTGAGGGTGGAGATGGGCCACAGCACCCCCTGCGGGGGTGGGGGTGGGGGGGACAAGGAAACCTTTTCAGGATAAATATGTCCTGTATCTTGCTTGTGTTGGCAGTTATATGTGGCTACCTGTGGTGGTTGCATGACTATGTAAACTGCCAAAATGCATCAAATTGTACTCTTAAAATCGATGGATTCTGCTTTTTAAAAAAAGAAACGGTGGTTAGGGACCGTGGACTTCAGAGGCACGTGATGGCAGCCGTCTGCTCTGTCTCCTCAGGGAAGATCAGCAACCCAAGACTCGTGTGCTCTCCAGGAAAAGGGAGCTCATAGTGCCGACCTCACAGGGTGGTGGAGGGTTAACTCAGTGGTGGGCGGCCTGAAGGCCTCCTAGGATACCTAACTATTGTTAAAAGCACGGGAAGTGACATGCATACGTCAGTGTCCACTTCTTCCTGAATTTGCAAAGAGCTTCTGCCCCTGTGCCCATTTCTAATCAGGTTTCCTCTGAAGGATATCAGGAGGGGAGCCAAGCTGGGGGGAACTGATTTTAGAGGGAAAATGCATCTCAGCGGGTGTGGCCTTAGTGGATGAGGGCAGCCAGCAGGCTGGGGAGCAGCTGTCACCTGCCAGGGCGTCTGCTTCCTGGGTGGTGCTACAGCCCCAGTGTTGGGAGAAGGACACTCCTTTATGTAAGTGGCCTTAATCACGGAGCGCTGCTTGTTTACATCTAAAGGCGACTCAAAATGTGACAGCATCTGAAATAGGGGTTTTGTTGTTTTTTTTTTAATGAGTGTTTTACAGAACTATATTTTTAGCCATGTTGGCTCATGTTATATAACCAAGCCGTCTCATGGGACACTCTAAATAGAACCTGCAATAGCAAGAGATGACAGAAGCTGGTAGCGGCTCTGACTACAAGGCTAATCTAATTGTAGGATGATGCTAATGATACAGAAGGTGCGTCCCCCTTCCCTTGAAGAAATGTGATTCAGGCAGAGGACCCGAGCTTTTCCTTTGCGCACCTTTAATAGAAATTAGAAGTGAGGCTTCCGGTTCACCTCCCCTAAGAGTAAAGTATGACACATGTATGAGTCTTACTTATCAAACAAGCATTTGATAGGTGCCTACTGGGTGCCAAGTGACCACTAGAAAATCGTGTTCTGTAGGGATGACCAGGGGACGCAGAACTCAGAGAAGGAAGGAGCATGCGTTTTGAGGAGGCAGGGGATGGAGGGGGCTTCCCAGAAGAGGTGACATCTAAGCTCAGACCTACGGGGGCTAGGAAAGGGAGAATGTCCCAGGTAGAAGGAAGATGTGTGAGGGTTTGCAGGTAGAAACAGGGATGGGACTCGCTAAGTGCAGGGCAGTGATTTGGAGAGGAGAGTTGGGACAAATGAGGCCGTAGAGCTGGTTGACAGAAGCACGATGAAGCCCGCGTTGGTCTGTCACCTGTACTCAGTGGAAGCTGTGTCCTGTGACGCCCCGCCGTGTCTTTCCAGGGACACTGGAGCCGCACTGGTCAGGGCTGCTGTGGACAGCCATGCTCGTGTCTCTGGCCATCGTCATTGCTCTCCCCAAGCCCCACGGCATCCGAGCCTTGATTGCTTCCACGATTCTCCGGCTGATCTTCTCCGTCGGGCTGCAGCCCACGTTGTTCCTCCTGGGAGCTTTCAACGTAAGTGCAAACACCTTGCTTTTTTGTTGACGCGGGAATAGGAGCGCCTCCCTCTCTGTTAGAACCTTGGCCTGTGCTTTCAGGGGCGACAAATATTGTTTGGGTCAACTGAAAATAGCAGAAGCAAAGCAGAGCTGCCGGTGGGCCGATCCCTCTGACCTCTCACGGTGCAGTGAGCTTCGCGCTGCATTTCGGGGCCTGGCTGGTCTCACCTTTAAGGGAACACCCCTCTCAGACTTTCAGCAGGAAGAGGAGAGCAGCTGAGATTTGTTAGTGTTGCCAACCTGGTCACAGGTTTGCGGGGTCAGGAGATTCTAGCCAGTAAGTCAAATGACCAAATATTAACATGGCATCCACTGCTGATGAGGCCACACAGAACAGAGGTGATGTGAGAAGGACGTTCAAACCGAGAGGGAGCCAGTGGCGAGTTTGGGAGAAAGCCGGAGTGATTTCAGAGTCAGTGGTGACTTTTGGAAATGCCGCTTTGCTACAGTTGAAGGATAGAAACCAACTGCATGATGGGAGAATCCTGAGGAAGTGAAGACAGCTGATATGAGCTGGCAGATGGACTGGAGAGGTTTTCTGGTGAGAGGAAGGGGCTTTGGATGTGTGAGGCACAGCCTTCCAGAGGGTTCTTCCCTGAGCACATGAGGAAGCCGAGGTTACTGTACCAAACTGGAAGCCATACTGCAGCATAAGGTTAATATAGTAATGCAGTGTGACAATAAATGTCCCCAGGTGGGTACTGAGATGGCAAAGGCAGCCAGGACGTTAGGAGAGGACAGCCTAACAAGCTGACAAGCTCAGAGAGGATTCCCCAGGGGAAGTTGTGTCCTGACGACTGGAGAGGTGCTGGCCAGGAAGAGGGGCTGAGAGCACGGGCAGCGGAGAGCCCAGGTCCGTGTCAAGAGATGCCCCACAGTTGCGTGTCAGCTCCATGTGGCTCGTGCAATGATTAATATGCAGGACAGTTGATTCCCCGACGAGTGACCTGGTCCTGAGTTCTAGGATAAGGCACTTGTCTTCATCCTCCAGTCAGCATTTCCAAAGCATGTTCCAAGCTAATAAATCGCAGGCGGGAACCATGGGGCCTATGGTCAAATCCGTGTGGGGAATGCTGGGGTAGACGGGCGCAAGGCCCTCGGTGCAGAAGTTCTCAGACCCTTTCACATGCCGACATGGGCTGTGAATCTCCCAGGAAGGGAACCGGTGTCACTGTGTTTCCCAAACTGGTGTGCTCATTGTTTTATTTTAAAGTATCACTTGAAATTAATGTACAGAATATAGGTCGGGAAAGTCTGTGCCCAGGTGCGGGAAATGGCTCAAGTGTTTTTGAGGAAAGGAACGGTAGATACAAAGGAGTGAGTATTCTTGAGAAAGTTCCCTCAGTGGTGGCTTGTTGTGTGGATTCAAGTGAGAGGGGCCACAGGCAGGGGGACTATGGAGGCTGCAGCCGATTAGGGGTGAAAAGCCTGGTGGAAGTAAGAAGGCAGGTGCAGATGTCAGAGCTGCAGAGGAGAGAGTAACGCGTGGTGGGCGTGGAGTCAGAGCCTCAAGCCTGAAGACCACCCAGGGCTCCACCCAGGTCTCTCTCTCCAGGCGAAGGAGATTAGGGGGCAGGGCTGGGGGGGGGCAACTCAAACTGCAAATTTTCAGGCACAGAAAACTGGGAAGAATAATGCCGCCAACTAAAATGAAGCCATGCAAAGACCTAGCTTTCAGGGTGGAAACACACTTAAATTGTTGACATATTGGGCTTGAGGTGACAAGACAAGCCATTGTGTTAGCTGTGGCCTTTGGAAATGCATGATCAGAGTGACAAAGACATATGAGTGTTGGAGAAGGGAATGTAAGTGTCACCTGCAGGGAAACAGAGATATTTAAGAAGGAAATACAGAATAAACAATAAAAGGAAAAAAACTCAGTTTTTCAGAGGTGTCTTCGATGGGCTGTCTTAGTTCTTTTGTTTCCCTGGCCTTGAATTGCCCCACTGTTCTCTCTCTTCTTTAATATAGATCAGTTGGGGGAAAGGCTCAAATTATACAATTAATTACCATTTATAACAACATTAGCTTGGGGGGAAATGCTGAAACAACCTTAATAAATAATTATTTAGAGGGAATTTAAAAAGAGGAACACGTGGAGTGCATGGGAGAAGACAGATGAGCTATGGACAGAGAAGGAATGGTGGAGAGCTACGCTGGCGGAGCAGGACGGTAGGGTGAGAGTGGTAGGAGGGTGGGGGAGAGCCCTGACCTGCTGGAGGAGCTGGGAGACCCCGGAGACACGCCCCCTCCAGGTGCCCCTGAAGAGTCCTCTGGAGACGTGGGAAGGGCTGCGAGGTGGGACCAAGACTCAGATCTAAGACTGATGGAGCAGGGCCACTAGGAAGTGGGGACTGCAGACTGAGTCCATGAATAGGAGAGATTTGCTGGTGCAGAAAACCAGGGCCGAGGCTGAAGAGGAGCCGACCGCTGTCGTGAAGGCGCAGGAGCCTGGCGTGTTGGAGCCACTGGAACGCCAGCCGGAGTGGGGCCGGTTTTTTTCTATTCTGAAACTCCATCAACGCAGCTCATCCAGAGTCAATGACACTCTCTCACCCTGTGAAAGAGCCTACACTGGTGAAGTGCCGAACGTTAGAAAAAAAACCACCTGCTGGGTTGAGCACGCACCTGTCTGACAGAGCCGGACACGCTCTGCTTCCTCGCTTACCTGATTGCAGAGAAGCTCACTTACGCTGAACCCCCAGATTAACTGGCAGAACCTCCCAGCCAGTGGCCAGGCTAGCTAGGGTGGCAGACAGTGGGGTTTACCAAGTGCCTCCGAAGAGCTTTCTCTCTGGCCTTCTCCTGACTCAAGTTTTTCTATCAACACGTTGCTAGAGACAGACTTCCAGGCATGGGGTTTCTGTCACAGGTGGGCTATATCATACAGCACATCCGCCTTCCGCGGCCGGTGTCAGAAAGCCGAATCCACGCTATTTGAAGCAAAAGAGGAAGTGTCTGGGCTCATGTGACTGAGAAATCGAGAGCCTGGTAGCTTCAGGCGTGGCTGACGCCAGGGACCCGGACAGTGACATCAAGGCCCAGCTCCTGCTGCTGGTCTCCGGGTGTGCACTGGCGCTTCTCGAAGGTTCCACCGTGTGGCACAACAGAGGCAGGCAGTTTCGAGTTTATTTTCTCTCAGGGTCAAGGTCAGGAGTGACGAACAAAATTGTCTTTTCTGCAGTCTGAGGAAAGATCTCAGTGGGTATCATGGGCTTCACTTGGTCGTGTGCCTGTCCTGGAACCAACGCTCTTGCCAGGGACATGCAATATTCTGGTCGCCCGGGATGGAGCCCCACCTGGACCTCAGGGACTGACAGGTGGAAAGGGCTGGGTCCCCAGAGGAGAATGAGAAGTTATTCCCAGAAGAAGGGGCAGGGGACTTGAACTCATCCTGAAGTCCCTTTTTCTCCCCCAAGAAAATTCTCATTTTCCTGGTGAAATACAGCAGGCGAGAGTCGAGCACAGGCCGCTTCTCATAAATTGTAGCCCTCTCATGCCTAGAGCGTCACAGATACTCAGAAAGCGCTTTTAACCACACCGATCACAGAGTTTGTGGATTGAGGTGACTTCTGTGTTTGACTAACTCACATAAGAATGTTAGATAT